AGTGCCACCCATTGGGGTATGGGGGTATGGGGCATGGAGGTAGAGGGGTCTTACCCCCTTACCCCCTTCGGTTCGTTCACATAATCAAATCTCACGTCGCCAAAAAGCCAAGCGAATAGGCAGCCCATTTAGTTGGCATTCGATTACGAACGCAGCCGGCCGCAGTCTCTACTCGACTTGAGCCTGCCTGCAGTGCGTGCAGTGGGCTTCTTACATGGGCTTCTTCATACAGACACGCCAACTGCAAACGGAGCAGTAAGAGAGCCTCACACAGATTCCTATCTCTACTTATTCGCTGTCTCTCTTTTGTCTTCCTCTGCAGGTGCGTCGTGGTGGCCGTCATTTTGGCCATCCTCTGTGCCTACTCGCTATGGAAGAAGCGTCGCACACTGTGCGGCTGGGGCTTCACGGAGCATCACACTCAGTCCGAGGGCGACTCCGCCGGCTCGTGCTATGCACCGCCGCAGTACAGTCGCTGCAATTCGTTTCATCATCCGCCGCCGCCCTACACGGAGGTGAGTTGATCTGCTATTTGAACTGACTGAGCCAAGGCTGAGGACTTATCTGATTTCGACAGGTCACCTCGAAGCCGGATCTCTATCCGCTCGTCTTCACGTGCAACAACGAAAACAGCAAAGGCAACGCCGGCTCCAGCTATCTGATGGTGCAATACTTTCGCAACTATATTGTGCGTCCGGCGGGCTCGCTGAGCGCGGCCAGCACCGTAGACTCGCTCAGCTCCAGCTTCATTTGCAACATCAACGAGGCCAACACCCTGGTGCCGCCGCCCTACTCCCGTGCGGCCAGCCCCGAGCTGGGCCTGCACTACGGGGCCAACCGAGAGCCGCCGCCCAGCGGCCAGCTGGCGGCACCGCAGTACGGCCTGCCACGCTCCGCATCGCAGCTGGTGGAGCCGGAGTACCAGCCGCGCGCGCACTACGCGACCGTCGCCCTGGACAGGAATGTGGGCCTGGGCTCGGGCACGGCCCACTACAGCACGCGGCTGCACAACTCGCACAGCGGCCACTTCTCGCCCGACGAGTCGGCCATGGACTCCGCCGGGCTGGTGCATGTGGCCGGCGTGGGCGGCGGGTTCCTGCAGTCGCAGAGCGACCAGCACTTCCGCTACATGGCGAACAGTCGCAGCAGCCTCAGTGATATCTTCGTGAACAACAGCTGCGTGGCAGGCTTCGGTGCGCCGGCGGCGGGGACGGCAGCCGCAGCGGCGGCGGCGGCCAACGAGGCCGGCGGCATTGCCAGCGGCGTCGCCACGCAAGCGACGTCGCTCTGCAGCCTGGCGCTGGCAGCCGGCGGCACGCCTGTGATGTACAACAGCGGCTGCATCCAGTCGAATCCGCTGCACAGCCTCGAGAACTGCTGCCAGCTGGTGTCGGCTGTAGAGGCGGCAGCGGCGGCGGCGGCCGCGGCGCCGACCACAGGCAGCACAGTGTCGGGCGTGAGCAGCCTATCGAACATTGGCACGCCCGGCTCGCCGCCACAGGCGACCAGTCCGACGGGCGAGGTGCGCGAGATTCTGGATCAGATTAGCAAGCTGCAGGCCGACGTCAGCTACGAGCAGCTGCTGCTAGCCAAGCCGCAGCTGCCGCAAGCCGCGCTGGCCAAGCCGCTGGCGCGGCCCGCCTCCTTGCTGCACCAGCACTCCGCATCGACCCCGACCTCGACCACGCCCACAGCGGCAACGCCCAGCAGAGCCAAGAAGTTCTACGCGTCCAAGCCGCCCAACAAGGCGCTCTACATACCAATGGCCGTGGTGACGCCGCCGGCGGCCCAGCGCTGCGTGCTCAAGAGTCCCATCAGCAGCGTGGTCAGCGGCGCCAACTTCTTTGTGAATCGCGGACGGGTCGCCCGCAAGGGCTGGATCTCGCGGTCGGCACCCACAACGCCGGGCAGCGGGCTGCCGCCCAATCGGCTGGGCGACGACAGTCCCCTGCTCAACGAGCACGACGAGCAGGAGGAGGACGCCATCGACGACGAAGACCAAAGCCAAGACGATCAGCTCGAATAGACAGCAACAGCTCAAGCGTCACCTAGATGTAAGCTTTTAATCAAAACGCAGCTTAGTAGGCCGTCAAAGGACTTCAGAGTGCCAAGAAATACCAAAAGATTCAAGAAATCAACTTTGACTACTGCTAGAAGAAGATTTAAGTCTAAATCCAACGAGAGTTTCAAATAAAATCAAATTTGCTTTTAGCCACAGCTCTTAAGGGCGTAAAACATCCGATTTGGATGCCTAACTATACCTATGTATAGAGCAGTATTAGGGATATTCCCTTAGCAGTATTCGAGTTGTTTTCCTTTTAGCTTTATTTTCTTTTGCTTTTTGGTATTTTTCGGCACACTGAGAACAATGCACAATTGAGAATGGTTAATGAATCCATTTGGTTTATGTATGTATATTTAGATAGACAATTCAACAGCAACAAAATATTGGCTAATAACTGTAATTAATCTGGCTTCTGCTCTTGGTCGCCCGACGCTTCCAATGGCCGAGCGTGTTCCTACTGCACAAAGACAACAAGAACAAACATGCAACAGCAACAGCAAATACATATGTATGTATGTATGTGTATATTATTGCTGTTTCCTTTAAGTAATTAGTGTATGTATGTATGTATGTACATATGTATATGTGTGTGTGTCAGACTTAAACAAGAAAATGAACTTTTTCGATGTGCTTCAAAATGTATTGTAAATGTTTCAAGTTTTAATGTGTAAAGCTTTAGCTGTAAAGGACTTGCAAAGAGAAAATACAAATGCAAATACAAATTGTCTTTGTATATACATATATGTATGTGTATGTGTATATGTGTATTTTACATGCATATACATATATATATTTCTTTTTTAGGACTATGTGTAATGAGAACAACATACATAGATAATACTGTATGGGCGCTAAAACAAAATCACATTAATACACAAGTACATGAGGAAATGCAGAAATCAATAATTAAAAAACAAAAAAGAAAAGAAAACGCATACTTTTTTAAGTACGTGTAAAGAGAGAGGGCGAATCGCAAAGCCCAGAGAACAATGCGCTAGAATGCAGCAGTGCCTTTTGACTAAACCAAAAACAAAATGAAAGAATGACAAAAACTAAAACTAAATCAAAGAAAACTAATATTATCGCGCACAAGCCACGTATACATACATGCATATTGTATGTGGATAGTAATTAGACAGACTAGCTCATTAGAATCAAATAAAACTAATAACAGAACAACACACGGAGTTATCGAAACAAAAACTAAGTATCGATAAGTTGCGAATCCCAGCAACAGACACGACCAGTAGGCGGCTCGGCTTATAACAGAAACAAAGACCAGATGGCTATGCTAGTTAGGCTTAAGATCGAAAGCTTCTAATTTTTAGTTCAACTTCAGAAAGTGCCAAAACAAAGTACTTCCCAAACCCATTTCTTGCCGTATTGGTTCGAATGAAATCGGTTTCAGATTCGTTTACGATGCTGGAAATCACATTCAAAATCACTTTAGTTCGCTAAATTTAAACATGCCACAGAAATTCCTCTGTCTCTGGTACTAAACTTATGCTCAGCTTTCCACGCTCTCTATGAGAGAGCGAGCGAAGCCTTCCATTATATGCGATAGCCAATAAGAACGAAACGCACTGTGACTTCCTTCACACTCCCACTCACACACGCACCAACACAAACATGTATCTTCCATAAGAATCGCATGCAAAGGCAGATGCAGTGAGAGCGAGATAGTTAAGCTCTGTTCGGGCAACTCGTAAATACAGAGGCAGCGAGAGAGAGATAGCCTACCTCTGCTCAAACAACTTCTATTGAACATTTTTGCGTGTTGTTCTACAGCTGTGGAACATACTTTTGTATGTGCACAAATACATATTCAGTCAGAGCGAGATGGCACAAGCTTCAAGCTATAAAAACTGTGGAACATGCGTGCGTTCACAACTAAATTCCGATGTAATTGTAATTGTCACTCTAGCTAGCTTACCATAAACGCATACATACATATATACRTGTATTTATTATTTATAAATATGAAAAAAACGAATTGTTAAAGCTTTCTCAGACAAGAGCAGATGTACATATAAGTAAAGCATTGGAAGCAAATACTATGTAGCGGTAATACGGACAGTCGGCCATACGAACGAGCCTTGCACAAAACAAAACGAACAAAAACAATAACAAAAAATAAAAAATAAAAAAAAACAATACACTCGCTTTCACAGAGTAAAAACAATATGTTTGACTAGATCTACTACACTTAAGAGAACAACCGAAACAAAAACAACAACCGGCTTAAAATGCAAATTTTCTTTCAAATTCAATTTTAGTAAATACATATATACATATATATATATTATTTTTAGATGCAGGTCATTAATACAATAACTTTCAAGGTATTTTAGTATAAACATAAAACAAACAAGCAAGAACACAAATAAAAACAAAACCAATTTATTAAAGTCGTACATTTCAACAAGTGAGAACTGTGCAGTCGGTTACACTCGACTGCCGAATACTCTCATCACAGTGGAACAGATGCGGGAACAGGTAGGCAAATATCTTTAAGGTACATATATCGTTTCACATATAAGTCTGTAGAAAACATCGATTTGTAACAATATATCAGAGCGGCTTTACAATGTAGATCAAACTAGCTTAAACTCGGGGGTTTCTTGCAATACAATATTTTAACATAGCTCTCTTAAAATATACACACAGTTTAATACGTAACAGCTACATACGGTAAAAAAAAAAAAATACAAAATAAACAGTTATCTTCGGTTACCGAATATATCGAATTTTTAACCCTGTAGGCATTAGGTAGACTGATTCGATTTGAGACTAGTGAAAAGTTAGAGTTCGAATTTCCGATGTGAAAAAGTTAGTTCTAAAAGCTATGATAGATATTTGAATCGATCCTGAAACGATCTTAAAATGATAAAAAAAAAAAAAAAAAACTGAAAGACAGACAAAAGTAGGTAACCATACTACAGCGTCACAACGACCCCTCCGTCCAATGTGTACAGGGTATATATACATATATAGACATTTATATAAACAAGAGCTGTTGCGATCTGGACTGATCATTGCTTGACGGCCTGCGCCTGTTTCTCGCCCTGCGCAGCATCATTGGTCAGCTTCAGCTTGGCCTCGAACTCCTTCTGGACGTCGGTGTAGTAGGGGCCCAGCTCCTCGCGCACTGCTTCGTACCAGCGGGCCAGCTTATTTCGATTCTTGAAGGTATTGTAGCCAATGCTCTCTGCAAATATTATCGATATCGTTGTTATTGTTATCAAAATGGAATTGGCTCAAATGTTTTCTTACTCGGCTGGTCTATTTCGCAGATGGCACTGAGGTCCGCATACGAAATGTTCTCGCCTAGCATAAATTTACGGGAATTCAGGAACAGCTCCTCGAAGTCATTAAGCGTGTGCTCCAGCTGCTTGCTAGCTGAATTCACCTGTATCAATTATATTCAAATGTTGTATTTTAATATAAATTGTATTTGTGGAAATTCAGGGTATAATGGCTAGCTGAGAATGGAAATGTGACCGAAAGAAGGGGCGTGGCAGACCCCATTAAGTATGTATGTGCACTCCTTATCAGGACAACGAGCTGAGTCTATTCAAGCATGTATATACATATCTCATTTATCTGTTCGTACTTCCGTCGGTCCATCTATCAGTATGTTAACTCCTTTGCATTCGTATGCCATTCCTTCCGTATTGGCGCAGTCAACCCACAAATTACATATGCTCGAGACTTATAGTATTAATATAGTATATTTCTTTGTACAATACGTAATAAAAGTTTATACTTTTTTCGATAGCTCAATTCAAGCCCTTGCTATCAATAAAATCGATGACTTGGCTAAGCTTTTAAGGCATAAAAACTACAGGTTTTAGTTGACTCTTCAGGCTCTTCAAATAAATACCTAGATATACATAAATATGTATATATGGGAATTAAGAAACTGGAATAGCAAGACAGCCTGATATCCTTATCGGATATTTTCTATTTGTCTTATCTGTATGATTCTAAATTTCTCAATTTCGACAACTGACTCTAAATATACTTTAGATTACTGAAAGTTCGAACAGTATGTACTTAAAGTCAACGTTAAGTTCATTTCTTTAGCAGCTGCAGGACTGCTAAGGATTCCAGGTAACTAATAAAAACTAGTTTTAGAACTGCAATAAAATCAAAGATTTGTGTTTACTTTCAATATATAAATTGATGTCTGGCATGTTTACGAAGAGTCAAGATCGGATCGGTGGGTTCTGGTTTAATGAACTGAATATCCTACGCATATCCATATGTCATATGGACTATATCTATAGTATATAATCTATATGTTTGTCGTTTATAGTCTACATAATCTACATACAGTATAGTGAAATATTTTCGCACTTACCGCATTATCGGAGGGTCGAGTTTTCTGGAGGTAGGGCACCAGCCACTTTTGCTGGAAGTAGTCGGTGCACGCCACATCCATGTTGGTCTGCTGCCAGGCGAGATACTCGTCGACACGACTGCGGCCCAGGTGACGGTGCGGATACCAGTGCTCGGGCACGAGCTTCTCGCGCGCCAGATGACGGAAGATGGCCACGCTCTCGGACAGTTGATAGCCGTGATCGGTGATCGCGGGCAGCTTGCGGAACCGATTGACTTTGTCCCGAAACTCGCCCGTTAAGTGCTCACCTGAGGAAGAGGATGATTCAATAGATCACAGTCTATTATTGAACAATGTCTAACGCTGAGTCATAGGTCATGAGATCTTAAAGCTCACTATGAATATCTGAACCTCAAGCAATGTCTAATGCTGACACCTAAGTTAGTTCAAACTAACGAAGTTAGTTCATTTGAAGAATATATACATATCATATTTATATATAGATATTTTTTAACAGCTCTGTTTTTACCGTTTCGGGCATCGATCAGTCTAACGCGCAGAGACATGCAATGCGACCATTAATCTGTTCAAGGCAGTCTGCTCTATGGACAAACGTGAGCTGGCCAGATCTCGGCTGCAGCTTGGCCGGGCTCAATGCACTGGCTCGGGGCCAGTGGCCAGTCGTCCAACTGCACGCTTACACTATTGAGCAAAAGTCGTTTGCATTTCGATTTCGTACGCTCCAAAGTCCACTCAGGCGCAAGTTTTGCTGCACTCGCCGCTGCGCCAACTGGCGGAAGCCACTGAGCTAATCCGCAATTTGCATACAGCCGGTGCGGATACATGCATATGCATGCATCTATAGATCGGGAAGTTCGAGATAGCTGACAACAGCGATAAATCTAATATAGAAATGCATCTACATATGCATGTATACACCCTGCTTTATATGTATGTATGTATGTATGTATGTACATGTGTGTATGTCTCAGCTCTAATATTTCACTTAACAAGTCAACAGCTTTCAGCCTTGACCAAGTCAATAGCTTTAACTGCGGCTTCTGCTATGTTTGGCGTGTTTTTCGCCAAGACGAAAACAAAAAACACTGCGCAACATAGTTACGGTTATGGTAAGAGTTATGACATGCCTATTATAATTTCCTGATAGTAATGAATATTTCCATTAACAAATTCGTTGGACAAATTTCAGTTTATATTTTCGGTAAACACAACTGTACTTTCTGCTCCTTTGCTAGCCCTCCATTCCAATGATCGATTATTATTTGTTTGCTGATAACGATACTCAATTGGCGTACAGAATAATCGAAATCGATTTGCTAATCAATTTTCAAACTGTGCATGTTTGGTATTTATACAACCAAATGTGGGCGTGGCATATCATTAAAAGAGAAATATTTTGTAGTCACTCTGACAACATACAAATTGATATTAGCTCTATCAGTCGTACTCTAGAATATGCTCTACGTATAATCAAGAAAAAGCTCAACTTTATTGCTTATCAATTTAAAAGAGATTGCAAAAAAAAAAAAAAAAAAAACAACAAGCGAAGCAAAAATGTAATATCTATTATAAGAGCTATAACTCAAAGGGTCTAACATACATCTACCCGCTTTTCATCAAGCAATTTTGCTAAACAGTGTAAACAGCACGCGCCCGCTAATAAACAAACACATTTGATTCTCTTCTGCCCTCTTTGTATACCCTGTACCCCAGCTGCACGATGTAAATATGGGCTTTAGAGTCGGAATGTTCATATCCAAGCATCAGATCCAAGCCAGAAAATGTAAGAAATGTTTATTATGAAAAGATTCCATGCAAATTAGGCTTAATGCCAACTACAGGGTATATTCTAGTCGAAGACGGCTTTGCTTGAGCGGCCAAACTTGTTTTCTTGTTTATCATTTAAATATTTTTTCAAATATTGCTGATTCTATTCTCATTCCCCGACCACAAAGCAAACCTTGCAGCTGCGTGCGAAAAGTGTATTTTAGATCCATGATTCGACCATATTAACACAGATATTACCGATATCTATACATACATACATACGTACATTAATATCGACTGCGCAAAAAGGTAATTACTGCAAAATTAAACTAAAACAATTATCTATTATATTATCTATTATATAGGCATTAGGGTATCCATACGAGTCATGCATGTATTTTGCCGATCCGACCATATAGATAGTGAATATATATTGTAGTATATGGTGATACGAACTGTAAGACATCTTCGACCCCATTAAGCTCATACTAGCTACACACATATATACCTATATCTGCGTATACATTTGTTAGTCGGCACTAGATTCTTTATCAGTATCAGGCGACGAGTCATCATAGACTTGTCATTCCTTGCATGTTCTTAACAAAGCTTATCAACATCGGATAACTATGACATAGGAACAAATTCATTTGTTTTCCTTTTGACTTATCAAAATAAAAATATCTCATTAATTTCGGAGTCCTACATATACTTATATCATGTTTATTAAATTGAATTGATGATCAACAATCTAATTCAATGACTAAGGTAAATTAAATTTGAATGTTTTTATTTATTTATTTTCTGTTGTTGTTATTTATAATGGTTTTCGGGAACTGTACCTTAATAAATATGTAGGTACTTGTAAAATAATTGAAATGTCACGTTTTAGCGTTTGTGAAAAACAGAAATTACATCAAATATTTTGAAGTACTGCGGATCTGATTTCTAATTATATTTCTAATAA